CGTCCCTAAGTTCCGCGCTCAAGAGCTCGAGGTTTCCCGCGAAGTGAACTCTCACCGGCTGGTTCTTCGTTATCTTGGTTAGTAGCGCGATGCTTTCCCGCAACAACGACATTATTTTCCCTACTTCCTGCGGCTTCCGCCTGAAATTATCGGTGCTAAAAGCGTATGCCGTGATGTATTTTATGCCAAGTTCGTAGCAATAATTGATCAAATAGAAGAGGGCCATAGCACCAGCGTCGTGGCCGGCGCCTTCGTTTAAGCGGTTCCTTTTAGCGTATCTCCGGTTCCCGTCCATGATCACGGCGATGTGGGAGGGCATTGGTCCGGTTCGGAGGACTCGGAACACGAGTTTCCGTACCAAAGTCTTGCATACGGTGAAGATTTTTCTGGACAAAGGTTCACTTTCCATGGGTAGATTGGAGATGAGAATGTGAATAATGAAATATTTAGGGGGGTGAAAATGCATTTTTAAATAGGATTGAAAGGTGAATTTGTTCAATATTGGTCACCATGTCGGAAGTGTGAGTGACAACCGATCAAGAACACTCAAGTGGCATGTAAATTTTTAGGTGGCTAAAATTTTGCCGAATTTCATATTACTCAACCATGTCTCAAAATTTATAATTTAATACGAAATATTGGTAATACTTTTAGGGTAAAATACATCATCGGACAATTATCGTAAAACCTTAAATCCTAAACTCTAAACCATAAACTCTAAACCCTAAACTTTAAACATTAAACCATAAACTCTAAAAGTAAAATATGTGTAGAAATTTATTTCTTTATCGAATATCGAAAATAATGGGAAAATATTAGACATGCAAAATATTTATTGGAGATATAATGACTGATTTTTTTCTTTAAGCACTTGAGACAGGCTTCACGTGAAACAGCTAAAACCCAAAGAGGGTTGAGAGATTAGATCTCTCATTTAAGCGTCGTGATTTCTTCTTCCAATTGTTAACTATTATTTTTAAAGTTTAAAGGTTGAATTCATATTTTATATAAAATCAAAGATCAAATTAGTATTTTATCAAAAATTTAGGGATGAAATTAAAATTTAATCATTTTTACTCACGCAACTTAACAATACAGTAACCAAATTGAGACGGGTTGAAAACAAAAACGACCAAAACTTAACTTCTTCAAACTGGGCCCAAATTCGAATAGACCACAAACAAAAGAAATCACCAATGTATATTACCATATCATTTAGGGTAAATTACGTGTTTAGTAATTAAACTATTAATTTTAATCTATTTTAATATCTAAACTTTTAATTTCTTTTAAAAAATATACTTAAATTTAGTTTTTATTTCATTTTAATACATTATCGTTAAAAACTCAAGGCACTACATTTCTTTATAGGTAAATTACGTCATTCACTCAACTATCTTCTCACTCCTGTTTTGTACTAAAATTTAAAAAATTTCAATTTAACTACTCAATTTTCAAATTACTCATATTTTAATCACTCTAAATTATTTTTTAATAATTTATGTTACATTACATTACATTTTTATTTTTATTTTATTAATTTAAAATTAAAAATAAAAAATTAAAAGTTAGGATGATTAAATTAGGATTAATTTGAAAATTAAGTAATTAAATTAAAAATTAAACTTTGGTGACCAAAATATGAGTGAAAAGATAGTTGAATGATGGAAGATACAATTTACCCATAAAAAAGGAGTCATGCGGTGTAGATCACCTGTTAAGTTTTTAGCGGCAAGCTACTAAAATAAATAAAAACTAAACGTTTAGTATGATGTTAAAAAAATCAAAAGTTTATATATTAAAACCGAATAAAACTAATAATTTAGATATTAATCTTGTAATTTACCCTATTATTTGGCATGTTACTAAAACATCACGAGGTTTTGAATAGTACGGACCTCCTATAGGCTATCCACTTGTTGGACTAATGGAATTTGGCCTTTCATCCCATTAGTCGGAGCTGATATAAGCAGCTGCCGCCTACCAAATGGGGAAAAACTGTGAAGATCACAAACCCCAAAGCCATTAAAGATCCGGTGGGTTCCATTTTTGCAGGCGGATTTCAGCACTAAAAAGATACATGTGCATAGCGGTGTTTATGTGGGAGACCCACCCACTTTACCCTTTCGTTTTGCTTTTCAACAGAGACGAGAATCACAATCGGTAAAGCTACACCTTCTTCTCCGATTGCCTTGTTTGTTTGTACTTGTTTGTTTTGATTTTTTGCTTTGTTGGAAATTTTGGGTTTTTCTAAGGCCGACCGAGCCATTGATTTGGTGGGAAGGTGGAGAGATTCTGGGAGGGAGAGATGGGCAAGCTGGTGGGACATGGCTGGCTTCTTCGAGAGATGGAAGGATCGCTTTTCTCACCAATTTTAGGGAACTTCAATCGATTCCTCAAGCTAAAAGCAGAGGGAATCTCCCTGTTGATTTCTTAAAGGTAATTTTTTCTTTCTTTCTTTTTCTTATTGATTCAATCTCTGGAATCACTTGTTTTCCATGTTTTTATGATTGATTTTGAAGAACCCTTTTTCGTTTTCTGGTATGTATTTGATCTTTTGTGCAAGTATTTAGTGACTCGCCCGTTCACGACTGACACAAGATTTTATGTTAGAAGTCGAACTATAAAATTTTAGTATGCTAATCTATAAAGAAATTTAGGGGCGAAAACATATTATCAATAGAAAATTTTCAGTCGAGTGATCGCCCCGTGTTGTTGAATCTCACTTAGCATAACGGAGCCCCATTGAAGGAACTAGGATACTATCAATGGAGATCAGTGAAGAAAACAATTATTGTGGATTAATCTGAATTCGGATTGCAGTAGGCAATCCTCTTATGAGCACCAGATAGACACAAATCTAATATCAATTTCTCCGAGATTCCCAGCCCTTTTTTCCATGTCTATAATTCATCAAGTGACCTTAGTAGTAAAAGAGAGTATTATTCTTACTAGAGGTCTCGGGTTCGAGCAGCTGCGTCTGCAGAGTGTATGTCTTGTCAATGATTAAAAAATATTCTGAACAGATGATACCTTATAATCACCCCAGACTATTCAAAAAAAATATTCGTGTCTGATAATCATGTCTGACACATGTATATGGAAATATGACCTCCGAGGATCCTCCTCCAAGGATCCTCCAAAGACATGAAAAGGCTAAGCAAATCTGACCATGTCCGTAGTATTCGCATACTTAGTTTGGCACTCGCACTCGAGTTTGAATAACATAGGCTGCAAGAGCAAATATTAGCCATGTTATTTTCTTGGAGAAGTGCATATAATAAAATCAATATTAGGTACCAAGATTTTCATTAATCGCCAGTTATATCTCTAAACGTTCGTGTCACGCACGGATATGGTGATATGACCACATCCGTAGCGGACGCATACTTATATCCGACAATCGTACTTGAATTTGAGTAACTTAGATTACCAGAGCAAATATTAGATGGGTTCTTTTCTTGTGTAAAGAATTGCCTGTTATGGTAATTGATTATAATTTGGTGGTCTGAGATCCTTTTCTTCTAGTTTACTAGTGCATGATCCTATCCTATGAATCTGTAATATCTGGAAAACTTTTGATCCAAGTGTTCAGACTCATGTTTTTCTTAGAATCAGTTTTTGATACTCGTATCCGACACATATCCGAACACTGATATAAGAGTACGATTCTCCAAAGACTCCAAATTTATGGAAATCTTGGAAAAGTTTGAGCATACTCGTGTCGGACGCTCAACCTAGTCTAAGTAACCTATCATCTTATGATCATACTGCTTGTTCAGTTGTTGCCATTACTTGTTTCATCTTGATCTTTAAATGAGTACGCTTATGGTACTTTCATTTGGACAAATTCCTCTTGGTGGGGATGAATTTTGTTAAGAAATCCTCAGTATCATTGTGGGGTTTTTCATAATTTCAGAGTAAGAAGAAGCCCATTGAATTTGCAGAAGAAGTATTGGAGGAGGTAGATCAGTATAATGGGTTCAACCTAATACTGGTTGATATTCGTTCGAAATCCATGGTTTATCTAACGAACCGACCGGAAGAAGACGGCAACTTTGTTACAGAGGTTTCTCCCGGGATTCACATGCTAACAAATGCAAATCTGGATCCACCTTGGCTCAAGGTAAGTTTGCATGTTAATTGATACGTGATCTGTTTAAACAATTTTAGCTTTGATTACTTGTTTGACAAGGCTCGATCGATCTGGTGTTCGATGTTTATAAAATTAATAGTCATATACATTCGAATTTGATCATGTAGTGGATATCCTTGATGTCAAAATGGATTTCTTGTTTGCAAAGTATTTTTTCATGCATATTCACTTGTTGATCTCGTCCTGTATGTTCCAAGTTTTATAGGCTCATTCTAGTTTCACGGTCATTCATGCTCGACGATTGGATCGAAATTTTAGGGAAGCGTTGGCTAAATACGGTAACGACGATGAACTTCCGGTTAAAGAGATGGTTGCCGGACTAATGACGGACACCACTACAGATGATATAAGCTCATTACCTCAAATATACCCCCCCGAGGCTGAACATCCTATGAGTGCCATTTACATAGATACCACTCGTCCTCAGGTAATCTTTAGTCGTATCAGTTGAGGTGAATATGAATTGATGAAGTTGAGTTCATTTTTCAGGTCTGTGCAGGGGCGTTATGGAACGAGAAACCAGTCAGCGTTGACGGTGAAATCGGACGGCGAGGTGTGCTTTTATGAAAGATATTTGGACAAGGATCTATGGAAAGAGCATACTGTAACTTACCAAATAAGGATGACAACAGAGTAGATTATTTTGATCCGAACTCGATCTGATTTTAGGATATGAAATTAGCTAGAATTGCATAGTTTCACATTTCATAAATACAGTACTTCAGCATCAAACATGCAAAACCCAGATTTTGCAGCTCATTTACTGGCAGTAACACCACTCTTTCTCACAAGAACTGCCATTATTATCACCGTACATTACGAAACAACAACAACAACAAAGCTAATAATAACGCCGACATTTGATTCGATTCGTGTTCAGGAGGTGCAAGTAACACAGGTGCAACCCGTCCCGCATTTGCAGAACGGCTTACCGGTCCCTGTGACAGCTTCGGCCAGGCTGCATGTACATGCTGCATGTACATGCTGCATGTGCATGGATTGCAGCCACAATCGCTTGTGATCGGTCCCGCTCGTGGTCTCCTCCGTCGGTGTGCACCTGTTCCGTTATTTCCTTGATATTATCATCGATCAGACAGTGAAAACTCTTGAAAATTGGACTAAAACATGGTTATAGTGGCGGATCTAGAATTGAAAAATGAGGGTACGAAATTTTAATACTCTATTTTAAAAAAAAAAATTGGGTTCTAACTTCGTCGTGAACCATCTTTCTCTCAGGGTTTTCCCCCGGTTATTGAAAAACAACCAGGTAGGCCATGGATTTGTGAAAAGAGCAGGGAAGTGGTCGAGTCCCGATAGTTTGTGCTGTTGAAGGAGACAAAGATTCACAACTGTCTGTGGTCCGTTTGTATTGTCAGAGAAAAATATCTATCAACCTTACTCCTCACATGCACTATAGACGATAGGAATGTAAATGAATCGAGTTGAGTTTGAATATTGTTTAGTTTTATTTGACTCGAAAATTTGTGAGTCTAAAACTTTTAAGTTCGACACTAAATCGAAATCATGCACCTAAACTCATAAAAACTCGAAAAGAAAAAAGTCTTTAACTCAATTAACACTTCAAACTCAAATTTGAACTTGAACATTAAATACACAATAATTTTATACTGTATTTTAAAAAAATTCAACACATAAATGTTAATATTATTAATAATTTTTTTTTTAAAAAATAAAATCTTAATATATTATATTTTTGAGTTGTTCACGAGCTTTTCGAGTCGAGTATCAAGCATCTCGTTTCGATTCGTTATGAACTTGAGTTGAATTCAAACTCAAATCCATTTGAGTCGTGTAATTATCGAATTTTGACCAAATTGATCTCAACTAGTTCGAGATCTATCTCGACTCATTTACGGTTATAGCGTAAACGACACGAAAGGGATATCAGAAAATTTGTGTTAGTTTTCTTCACGGGTAAAAATCACAAATAGTTATTAAATTTTGAGTAGAATTTTGTTTTTCCAACTAAAATTTTAAAAATAACGAATTAGTCACTAACTATTTATAACGAATAGGTGGAATTGTGGAACGTAATTAGTGATGAAGAAGATATTTGCATGTTTAAAGAGGTTTTGGGGAAGAAATAGTTATCCTGCAAGCCATGCCACCGGGACACGGGGAAGGACGGCCACACCTGTCGTTGCACGACGCTCGACCACCCATTCTATCCGCCATTTTTGCAGCTTTCTTGATTATTTTTTTGTGAAGCGTTGAGTGAATTCTCACTGTTTTGCTTTAAATGGGTGTTGTGAAACTCTTGCATGTAAACCAAGTGGCGGTGAAGAAAATCGGAGAAGATAACACATTGCTGTACGTTTCCAACAATATTGTTTCATCGTCATAAAACTAAACCCGCAACACGAACTAGACGATCTCGGTAGTAAACAAATTATTATTTTTTAAAATCTCAAGTTCGAACACAAAAAATATTAGGATGTAAGCGTTCAATGTTAGATAGTTGTGATTATTCTTTGAACAATACTACCTTATACTTACTCCAGATTAATAAAAAAAGATCTCTCAAGATTCGTCTTGAAAACATTTGTTTCTTATAAAAATATCTAACCATATATGTATGATTTATCGATCAATTATTCTAAATTAGAGTTCGCTGATATATTATGAAGATGATTCTCTAATTGAGACAACTGCCTCTAAAATTTTTAAATTATTATATATTTTAAGTATTTTCTCTATTTTTCTTCGAAATTATAAATTATTATATATATATATATATTTTTATTAAAATTTTATTTTCGTTCCTAAAAAATTTATAAATACAAATTCATCCCTAAAATTTTAAAAATTCAAACTTATCCTCCTATCATAAAATTCTACATATAAGTTTACTTTCCTCTTATAAAATATGATTTTACATATGTTCCTAAATAGGACCATAATTATCACGTGAGTAAAGGGCAGATTGCCATCTCAAATGTAGTATCTTTATCACTAATATCTAACCACTCATGCATCACTTTTGTCGTTACATATTTATAAACTATTATTACATTAAAATAATACATAAAAAATAATTATTATTTTAAAAATAATAATAATTTTAAAATTTTTAAGTACAAGCATTCGGACCAGCACAAGCTTTCAACACAGGACTCCATACCCATTGCACCATGAATTTTCTTCCTTTATTGCCCTTCATATTGTACGTCTTCCCTCTCCCATCCTTCATAACTTGACCGATATATACCCTCCGACGCCGCCGGTGCCGCACAACCCTTCACAGATATCTCCTATCTCGGTCGGTGCGGTCGGGTCCTCACCGGCGTACCATGCGTTCACGAGTGGATTCGTGGCTAGTTCGGCTAACTCGTGGGCGATCACACTGACCATCCCGTCCAAGCCGACGTCTCCGTTCGGCGGTGCCAACGCTCCCGGACCTCCGCCGGTCATGTACCCGGGGACGGCGAAGGGGTAAGCGCAGACCTCGGGGCATTGTTTACCCGAGTTCTCGATCCATGCATAGGGAGGAGTGTGACCCACAATTGACAGGAACGTGAAGTAGTGGAAGCCGCAAACGGCGCGGCAGAAGTGCTGAACGGTGACGTCGTGGGAGGTAAGGATTAGGTAGATTCCGTAGCGGTGGTCGACGGGGAAAGGAGCTGATCCAACGGCGGTGGAAATAACCTATTGGACGGAGAGCCGCGTGAGGTGAGAACCGTGGGAGTACTCCGTGTCGGAGTGTTCTTAAGCAATGAAAACGGTTCGGGAAATGTTGTCTCCGGTCTGGTCGGTGTAGAGGGTGACGATGGCGGTGGAGGGAATTGAGGAGGATAGTTTGGGGGGTATATAAAGAGAGGGAAATGCGCTGGAGATAGTTGCGTTCTGCTACGTGTGGGCGCGTACTCCTTCACCTTTCTCTTTCAGTCTCAAAAAAAAAAAACCCTCAACAGGAAAGTATCAAATACGGTAGTTTAATATACGATTGATTTTGTTATTATTGAGAGCTTTACGGGTTTGATAATATATCTAGTAGAAAAAATAATATTTTAAGTAACGTTTTATTGGATATGTTATCAAACTCGATAAAACGTCTAATAATAAAAAATCAATAAAAATAATAATATTTTAAGTAATTTTTTTACCGATTTTTTTAAAAATATAATAAAAACCAAAAACACATTTATTTAACCATATATTAAGACGGTCGTACGATAAAACTTCCTCCCATCTACACATCTTTTTTATAAATGATTTTTATTATATGCTAAAAGTAACTAAACGAGTTACCAAATATAATTATAACCCAACACAACTTTTTTTACAACCACTATTAATGTCGAATAGAATATTACATAAGTAAAGGCGATCTTTCTAATCTAGTTTGTTTATTCGCAATCTAATATAACTTTAACTTATATTTTTATGCCCATTTTCAATTATTTCTAGCAGTAATTACTGTAATTTTTTAGCTTTTATCTTAATTATGTATTTAATATCTAAATTATCAGTTTTGATATATTTTAGTATATAAATTTTCAATTTTTTTCAAAACTATATCTAATATTTAGTTTTTGTTTCATTTTAGTATCCGTCGTTAAAAATTTAACACTTTAAGTACTTAAACTATCAATTTTGGTCTATTTTAATACCTATATTTTTAATTTTTTTAAATTTAACATTGAATTTTGAACGTACTACTAAGATGAAACAAAATTTAAACATTATGTATGATTTTAAAAAAAAATTAAAAGTTTAAATATTAAAAGGACTAAAAACTTTTAAAACTTTTATTTAAAAGTTTAAATTTTAAACGGACTAAAAAGGCAAATTGCCAATTATTTTATTTTATTTGAAAGCTTGAAGGCAAATTGTCTGAGAGGAGTATCGCATTGCATTCTGCGAGAGGAAGCTAATGAACACGTGAAGTTCAGAAATAGCTTTTCAGTGGACAAGTCCTTTCATCACTGTGTTTTGATCTTTTTCTCTGATTAGGGTTTTTCTTTCTAACAATGTGCTTTGTTATTTCCATGAAATTCCATTTACACCCAGATTTTCAAGGTATGTTTTTCTCGTGTTTCTGCACTCTGGGACTTCCATTATTTGTTTCAATCTGGTCCATTTTGTTCTCTTCCTTTATTTTGCCCTCGTTCTGTTTGTTGATATTTCCCAATTAATCCCATTTCATGCTTCCTCTTCTTTTTATTGCGAAACGTTGGGTAATTTTCAACTGGAACTCAGCTCTCTGATCCCCTTTCATATGATGAGATACGAAAGTATAATTTCTTCTTGTAATTGGACTGGGCTTGAATACCACATTTCTTTAATATGTTACTGCATTGTATCGTTTCTGCCAATGTCTGTTTCGTTCTTCAATTTGTTGGTGCTGGGGTGGGGATCAGCTCCTACATCTGGGTAGATATTTGATAAAATGGCAAATGTAATTTGAATTGATGTACCTTACAAGATATTGATTAAAATGGCAACCCCATTTCGATGGTGAAATATCATGGCGTGTCATGAAATTGCAAATGCTGGCCCGTTAGCACATATATATACCAACATATTTTTTTTTGTATGGGGTGGGCATGAATAAATTTTCACGACGGGCACCATCCGTAAAATGAATAACTAACCTAAAAAAATTCGGATTCCAATGCTCACCCTGAACCACACTTGCATCCACAACTGCATCAGCGAGTTTACTTTTTCAAGCATATTGGCAGATCTGAGTGTTTCTAATTTATTTATTTGCGATGTCTGTTAATGAGTTTCTTCTTATAAACTTCTTTTGATTCTTTGGCAGAGATATGAGTGATTAAACATTTGCCTCACTGCTTGCTAGTTTGAGAACTCTTATTACAGTACTTGTTAGTTGTGATCTGGATGCATTTAAGGCTAGTGGCTAAAGTTTACTTCATGCTCATGTTAGCCAATGTTGGCATGATTGGCTTGTGCAAATACTGCAACTCGTAAATGGTGTCTAAACCGGGATGCATTTTCTATCCCTTTTTCCATTATTGGGTTCAATATTTTGGATGAGATGTGCTGGGGAAACTCTTTTCATGGTCATAGAAATCTTCTTTTATCGATATCTTTGTACTGTTTTTGATGTCTTATCCATCTCTAAGTCAGTGAATCATATTGGTAGAATCTAGCAATCACTAGAGGCCTTGACTTAAAATTTCACTAATAAAGTAAATTAAGTGTGGATTCCTTCTTAACTGGTTTCTACTTAATATTAGGCTTTAGCAAGCTAATTTGATGGTACTTTTTCCTGCATTTTTAACATTTTTATGAATTTTTTCTGTCCAGGCTTTTTTAATATATTGAAGGTAAGGGGCGGTGACGAAGAAACTGCCATTTTATGATGAAATGCTTTGCTGGTAATAGGGAGAAAGCCTAAGCTGTTAGATAGTCGGTTCTTTGAAGACAGTTAACGGAATAAAGATTCATATATAAGAGTAGATGTGAATAATGAAGTGGATGAAATTCCCGAAGCGATACTTAATTGTCATTTTAACCTTTGTCAGCACATGTGTATGTTACATAGAACGAGTTGGTTTCTCCATAGCATACACAGTTGCAGCTGATGCTGCTGGGATTAACCAATCAAGCAAAGGCACAATACTTTCCACGTTCTATTATGGTTATGCTTGTTCTCAGGTGCCTGGAGGATGGGCGGCTCAAAAGATCGGGGGAAGGAGGGTTCTTCTTCTCTCATTTGTATTATGGTCATCGACTTGTTTTTTGGTTCCACTAGATCCCAATAGAGTCACCTTCTTGGTCATTGCTCGCTTGCTTGTTGGTGTGGCACAAGGCTTCATCTTCCCTTCTATCCACACTGTCCTAGCTCAGTGGGTTCCTCCACATGAGAGGTCAAGATCTGTTTCACTTACAACTTCCGGGATGTACCTAGGTGCGGCTATGGGAATGCTTTTCCTTCCAAGCCTGGTGAAGTTCAGAGGTCCCCAATCTGTATTTCTTGCAGAAGCAGCGTTAGGTGTCATGTGGTCTTTCCTTTGGTTTAAATATGCAACCAACCCCCCTCGATCAGAGCATCAGAAAGCCACTGCTGCTACTTTTGGAGAATCTATGTTACCTACCAAAGCAAGTCAGAAGATAAAAGTGGAGAATGGACCTACTACTGTCAGAACTTCCAAGATCCCGTGGAAGAGAATTTTAGTCAGCGGGCCAGTTTGGGCGATCGTGGTAAA